TGTGTTGAAGACAATTGATAAAAGCGCAGGTTTTCCAGTTTAGCTGCTGTTCATATTGCTGTAAGAATAAGAACGTTGTGTTTCTCAGCTGTGCACTTCTCTAAAATGAGTAGCAGCTTTTTAAATAATACCCAGATACTGAAAGCAATCAAAATGTCAATCAGCAGTTTAATCAATCAAAAAATTGTGGTAAATTCATTCACTGGAAAAACACCCACTGTTACAATCAGGTACTGCTGGGTACACTCAACAGCGAGGGTGAAGGCACAAGTACATATGATGAGTGAAAAAGGACAAACACAAGTCCATATATACTATTCCACTTTTATAAATTCTATAAAGTGAATACTAATCTAATGTTACATGAAGAAAACCAGCAGTTGACTCTGGACATGGTATGAGAAGGGAAGGTGGAGGAAGCAGAAGTTATAGGAAAACAGGAAGAAATTTTGAGGGTGGTTGATTTTTTTTTCTATATTGAGAAACGTAATGGTTATGTCACTATTTGTCAAACCATACACAATACAGGATGGCTACTATTTGCTAATGTCACCTCATTAAAATATTACAAATTTAAACACATATAATTTGGTAGAAAATGAATTAGACAGAGATGAATAAAACATAAGAGAAATAGAAAGGAAAATCACAGAACAATGGCATAAGGACTTCACTCACCAAACTGAAGAAATTTTAAATTTCTCAACACAGAATTAAAGATTTAATTAAATATATATATATGAAATCAAAGAACCCGGAATATACATGTGAATCAACCCTATGCCTACCTATATTTTTAAGGAAATGCTAGAATACAGTGATTTCATGATTTCGTTACATAACAGGTTAATCAACCACTCCAGGCATGTCCAGTTCTGTCCTGGGGTTGGTTAAGGGAACAGGGGCATCCTGTGGTGAGGAATCATGGCACCAAGCTCAGAGCATCAGTCCTAGTTCAAACAATGCAAAGACCAAGAGATCTCAACTAAAATGCCGTGTGGATGTCACATCTGTGGGTGCTGCACACTCCCGCTTATGAATATGGAAAGGTTAATGACCTCAGGAGTTGTCTGCGGAGATTAGTGCTCATCTGTTAGGAATGTCCAAAATGGCTCAATAGAGCAAGAAAGGAGACTGACTCAGGGTTTCTATAGTGGTTTGGTGGTGGAGGCAGCGTGAGGGTTCTCACTCAGGAAAGGAGTCTGTGGTGCTTGAACCTCCAATGGCGTCAAATGGGGGAGTTCCTGTGATTCCTAACTAGATTATTCACCTCATGGGAAAGAAAGGAGAAGATGGAGGAAGCGGCCTTAAGTTATCAGCAGTCAGACTCAAAACAATAGTCTGATGACTTATTCTATACAACAACTATAAAAATCATGAATAAAGAAAGACCAGTGTCTAATATGGGTGGACAACAACAGGTCTACAAAAAATGAGAAGACTGCTTATAAGAATAAGCAATTAATAATGAAATGGATGAGGAAAATCAGGAGAAAGAGGTAGGTGAAAGGTACAGGCAGGGGATTACACAGGGGTCCTGTCCCAATGTCTTGTGTGGAGACTTTTCACTATCTAAAATCATCCACTTATTCTGAATGTCTTAGGTGAGCTCTCTGCTCCAAAACATCAGAAGCGCCAGAGGGTTCCTGAGAATATTTAGTTTAGTATCTTCTATTTGAAGTGCCTTACAATTGTGTAAAATTCTTAGTTAATATTATTACAATTAGAGATAGGCTCTCTTGCACAGGTTGGAGCGCAATGGCACAATCATAGGTCAATGTAACCTTGAACTCCTGGCTCACAAAATCCTTCTGTCTCAGCTTCCTGAGTAGCAAGGACTAGAGGGGTACACCACCACACCCGGCTGATTTTAAAAATTATTTCATAGAAATGGGGTCTCTCTATGTTGTCAGGCTGGTCTTGATCTCCTGGTCTCATGTGATTCCCCTGATTTTGCTTCTCAAAGTGGTGGAATTATAGGCATGAGCCACCATATCTGGTCTGACCTGAGTCTTTAGTTGCAAAATATCACACAAGAATTGATTCCCTGAATTTTTTTCTGCAGTGTTTTTGTCAATAGTGCCTGATAAGATTTATTCCAATGTGTTTCAACAGCAGAATTCCTTCCTGATGTTTCTTCTAGCATATATAATGCCATGATTGAAGATTATAAAACACTGGTAAAAGATGACATAAAAAGGCAACCTTAAACTTTTGGTAATTGGAGTGAGTATAATACAAAAATTACTTTCAATATTGTGTAACACATACATGGAATAGGACAGAGGTGAACCATGAGGGTAATATTTTTCAATGTATGAATCCTACAGATTCCCAGTCATAGGATAGTAACTGATGTGTCCTGAGGGAGGGACCATGGTGCCATAGTGCTATTGGGATAACTCTTGGCCAAGAGAGTCTCCATATTTTATTAGAAGTTTTATGTTTTATATTTAAAGATGCCATTTTTCAACATATCCATTTTGCTAGTCTAGATAAAATAGATGTGAACACACTCTTAGTATCCAGCCACGTCTCCTGTCTACATTATTAACCACACAGTAACTGACATCACTTGGGGCTCGTTCTAGTTATCCAATTACTTACTGATTTATCTCAATGCCTCTGGATTATTATGTGTGGCTATTTTAGTAGAGAGTGAAGAAAGACAACCTAGGCTGACCAAACAATGAGGAAAATCACAACCTGATGAAACAGGAAGCCTGGAAGTGAGTGGCTCCAGGACTGAATAATTTGACAGCTCGTCTTCCCAGGCAGTTTCTTTTCTCAGTTTTCCACACTGATGCATCCACAAAGTCAGCTTCACCCCCAGGGGACTCCCATCATGCAGTGACATGGTGACAACATTCCCAAGGGTCACACACATATATTATATATTGGTGGGAAAATGGGCAGAGACATTTCTGCAATTCTCCTCTGCAGGACCAGGAACACCTCAACAGACCATCTCCCCTGCCCCCATGACTAGAACTGCACCACGTGCCCACATGGACCCTCATCCCTGATAGGGAAAATAAGATGCCATTGATGAGGCCAACCATTTTATAATAAGAATTACTAAAGACTGATATAAAGGTTTCAAAAATGAATTGAAGTCTGTCCTACTATGTCCACCAAAGACTACAGATCCTCCAATGATACCTTCTTTGTCTTTTCTGCCTGACTTTGTCTCTTCACCTTGTTCCATCCTCCAGAGAATCTCCTTCAGCTCCCTCAGGTGCACTCAAGTGTTTTATTTACTGACAATTTCTAAATTAGACTAAAGGGTCCATATTCCTAGAACCATATTCCTTGGTCCATATTCCTAGGAAGGCATTGTGACCTGGAGTCTGGGCGTGAACTTCTAAGTGTTTCTGACCCTCCTCCAGATGAGATGCTGGTCTGTGTGTTCGTACTCCTTCCCCTGGAGTAGAGTCCTCCTGTTTTCCCCAGGTGTTCCCTCCCACAGCTCCAGTGTTCTCCATCGGTGTCATCACCTTCCAGACATGCTGCCCTGCCCTGCAGACTAAGGCTCTGATTCCATAAGAAAAAGAGGGGAGCTGCTTCTCAATAGACCTTTGGTGGGGACGTCTGTTCCCATCTCAATTCCTGAGGGGTTGAACTAGTGCCCCTAGGATTCTTGTTTCAGTGGCTTGCCTTTGCAGAATAAATTCTTAGTTCTGTAGTGGAAATAAGGGAGTTGGGTCTGAATACATTTTAGAATTGCGGCTCTTCTTTTCTCCCAAACAGACATTTTGAGAAAGGAAGATTTTTGTGACCGTTCCCTTTCTTGTTGAAAGAATTTCAAGAGGATAGGTTAGCTTTTCAGTATGTGGTCTCTTAAAATTTTACACTACAAAACACTTGCCACACTATATTTCAAACCATCCAACATATATTTGTATTTTTTCTTGGAATAGCCTATATTCCAGACTCTGCCTTAGATAATTTCATACTCTAGATTTATTACTTTCTACAAGAACTTGCTTCTTGCTAAATTTCAGATTTATTGTATGTTTTGAAACTTATCAGAATATTACTTCTGTTTAATACTTATCAGTAGTATTAAAGAACATTTGCAAAATTTCATCTTCCATGTTTTTCTGTTATTGTTGATGCAGTTTTTTAAAAAATATGAAAAATATATTCATTTTGTAAGTACGTTTCCAACCTTAACAGCAGATTTTTAAGACCCAGAATAATAAAAAATTCAAATGTTGTTCAGCTGCTTAATAAAAAACAAATTATGATAAATTTTGTTTGCTAGAATACTACCCAGCATTTGTAATAAGTGCCTGAAATACCCAACTACAAGGCAAAATATCTAATTATTTATGCAAGCTAAAATAAGCCAAACAAATAAGAATATATACTATGTTAGTTCATTTTTATAAATTATGATAAATTAAAATGAATCTGCAGCAATATAAAGATCAGTAGTTGCCAGGGAAATGGTAGAAGAAAAAAGAAAGGGAAAGGAGTAAGAATATAGAAGAAAACAAGGAAATGCTGAGAATTCTCTTGTCCACCTTGATAATGATAAAGGTTACATCACGTTTATCAACTGTAGACTTTAAATATGTGAAAGTTTATTATCTCCAAATGGAAACATAAAATTTATTACAAGCAACAAATGGAAACTTAGATAAAGAAGGAGTGACAGAAATATAGAAAAAAATGTATATTAAATTTCAGAAATACTTAAGAATTTCTCTACCTGAACTGTAGTTCTCACCATATTTTAGGTAAACGCTAGAATGCAGCAAAATCACACATGTTTCCAATACAGGAAATGGGTTCCACAAACCACACTAGGCACGTCCACCTCTGTCCTGGAGCTGGTTCAGGGAGTAATTGGGGCCAGTGATGAGGAGCACAGGCTTAGGTATCGGGGCTTACTCATCCCAGACATGAGCTCTTAGACACATACTTAGCATTTGTACATGGAGAAACCATTGGCTCTGACAAAACATAATTTACACAAGTATGTACAAATAAAATAGGGTGATCATTTCATAGTGTTTATCACAGCATAATTTTATAATGAGACAGCATATTTTCCAAATACCATCATTGTCACCAAACTCCTGCAAGGCACAGTCATCTCATCTGGGGACCGTCTTCTCCTCAGGCGTCCCACCCCAGTGCTTGCCATATAGTAGGAGACATGCAAATACCGTCCTCCCTCTGCTGATGAAAACCAGCCCAGCCCTGACCCTGCAGCTCTGGGAGAGGAGCCCCTGCCTGGGATTCCCAGGAGTTTCCACTTGGTGACCAGCACTGAACACAGACCACCAACCATGGAGTTCGGGCCGAGCTGGGTTTTCCTTGTTGCTCTTTTAAAAGGTAATTCATGGTGAACTAGAGACACTGAGTGTGAGGGGACATGAGTGAGAGAAACAGTGGCTATAGGTGGCAGTTTCTAACCAGGGTGTCTCTGTGTTCGCAGGTGTCCAGTGTGAGGTGCAGCTGGTGGAGTCTGGGGGAGGCTTGGTCCAGCCTGGGGGGGGGTCCCTGAGACTCTCCTGTGCAGCCTCTGGATTCACCTTCAGTGACGACTACATGGAGTGGGTCCGCCAGGCTCCAGGAAAGGGGCTGGAGTGGGTTGGACAAATTAATCCTAATGGGGGTACCACATTCCTCATGGATTCCGTGAAGGGCCGATTCACCATCTCCAGAGACAACGCCAAGAACACGCTTTATCTGCAAATTAACAGCCTGAAAATAGAGGACACGGCCGTGTATTACTGTACTAGGCACACAATGAGGGGAGGTCAGTGTGAGCCCAGACACAAACCCCCCTGCAGGGGCGCGCGGGGCCACCAGGGGGCGCTCGGGACCCACTGAGGACGGGACAGGTCCCAGGAGCAGGTGCAGGGGGAGGTTTCCTTTCTCATTAGCTGGAGAAGTCAGGTTTGTGTTTGCCGGACTCTGAAGAATTCTAGGCTGTGACATTTTATTACTTGTGTTTATTATGAATTTATTATTGCTAGTATTTAAATTTTAGTAATTTAAAAATTATATATATACACGAATACACTTTAATGAAGTAAACATTCCTAATTATTTGCACCGATTATTCCAGAGTTTTATTAACATTTGTTGACATCAGCAGCTACAAAGCTATAGGGACACAAATTTACAACCATAGAAAGATGTATAGTCCAGGCGCGGTGGCTCACGCGTGTAATCCCAGCACCTTGCAAGCCTGGCGGTGGGGAGGCGGATCACTTGAGGCCAGGAGTTCGAGACCAGCCTGGGCAACATAGTGAAACTCCGTCTCTACTAAAAATGCAAAATTTATCTGGGCGTATTGGCGCGCGCCTTCAATCCCAGCTACTCGGTAGGCTGAAGCAGGAGAATCACTTGAACACGGAAGGCAGAGATTGCAGTGAGTTAAAATGACACCACCGCACTCCAGCCTGGGCGGCAAAGCAAGATTCGATCTCAAAAAGAAAGAAAGAAAGAAAGAAAGAAAGAAAGAAAGAAAGAAAGAAAGAAAGAAAGAAAGAAAGAAAGAAAGAAAGAAAGAAAGAAAGAAAGAAAGAAAGAAAGAAAGAAAGAAAAATGTATAAATACACAGACATATGCATACATGTGTAGGAATTCATAATATACATTACAATAAATTAATTCTAAAAATATGGCCTAAAGAATCAAACTTAATGATGAGCTAAATGTAAATTATTTGTGTATTTCATAATTGATTTTGGTTATTTTTAATTATATCAATTGATTTATATTTGTTCATTTAACTACTGTTAAATGATGGTAATTTCAAATGTGGTTGTCACAATAAATGATAAGAATTTGAGGTGATGAACGATAATTATCTTAATCATTTCTTAATTATCTTAGTTATTCCATATTGTATTCACAAGTCTTAACATTGCTTCTTACCTTGTAAATATGAACAACCATAATTTGTGAATTTAAAATTTTTTATTTTAATTTTAAGAAATTTATCCCAGATCATTATCTTTTTCTTCAGTTCCAGATCTCATTTGATCGTCTCGAAGGACCATCTGCACCCCTGTCTCCTGAAGGCTTCTGGGAGTGGCTGCAGGATGGGCAGAAGCAAAACCCCATGTGAGTCCACACGATCTGGAGCCTCCCTCTCCTTGGGTTAGGCCATCTCCTCAGGACCACAGGCCAGTATTGGAGGTAAAACCTCTAAATGTGTTTTTTCCAGCTACCAAGTCATAGGACAATAACAGAAACATCCTTGGGGCAGAGGACCATAATGCCACAGTGCTAGTAGGAGTACATTTGTCCAAGGGAGTTCCAGGGTTTATTAAAATTATGATAATTTTAATGTAAGAATATAATTCTTCTAAACTTATGTGGAAGATTATGGGAAGTTATAACAATGCCGTGCTTTAGCATCAGCCATGCATCACAGAATCACTTTATAATAGTTCCTTCCATGGGTGTGCTTCACTCAGTTCATGCAAAACCTGGCAGGTTAGAGGCTAAAAATACAAAATACAAAAGTCTTTAATCATCTGAAAGGGCTGTAGCCTTTTCTCAAGGAATTATTTCAAGACACGGAGAACAGATAGATGATAAATAAAATACATTCACATCCCAGTAAGGGTAGAAATTGAGGAAAGTTGACCTAACTGTGTCCAAAGGGCCCTGTGGCTTGGTTTCTGTCTAGGTCCCAATGTTAGGGTTCTCCCAGGAATTTGTGGCTAGCTGGTCACACCTCATCAAGAATTAACCTTTGCTATTTCCTCAATTTGTTTATTTAATCTGACAACCAGTTTGTCTATAAACTGTAGAGTTGAAATGCAACACGTATTCATTTGAAATAATCTGGCACAAATTAAGCAAAATTGATAATGATGTTTTTTCATTCATTTGTGTTCAAGATCAGAGCCTAAGCATTGATATTTTTGATAACATCTGTGGCTGTCTCAGCAGTTTTCTCTTCTGAGGATATGATATGGTGTGGCAGTTTTCTTAGCTTTAGTGTTACCTCTTTTTGCATTGACTTCCACCTTTATACTTGCCCGGAATCTGGGATACAGGAGTGCCTCTAAGAGTTCCCTAATTTGCCCATTTTGCCAGGTTTTCCAGAACATATGAGATGCTCTTTTGTTTACAAAGCACCCCAAAGCCATGTACCGTGTCCAAAGGTGTTTCTTTCCTAGTTTGACAAATTAGAAAGTTCTAATAAATACAATCACTTTTGCCATCTGCGATGATTTTATATCAGATAGAGGACTGTGTTCTAAAGGAAATCTTACATTAGTAACAGCAGTTTTAGTCATTAACCTAGAGTTTTACCATTGAGGTGCGAGTCATAAGAAATAATATTAGGTCGAGGTTCTCAGTGGCACAAGGTTCTAAATCTCTTGTGTGTCCAAGGTCTTCCCTATTAACATGAAGCATTTATGTGCACAGTCATAGTTTCCAGTCATGCTTCTCCCTGTCTCACTATCACCACAAATTATGACCCCACCTGGAACCTGAGTTAATTTCCAAACAAGTTATTCATTAATCTTTGTGCCTCTAGATTATTACATAAGTCCATTTCAGTAGAAAGTTAAAAAGAACATTTGAACCGACTAAACAACACAGAAAATCACTAATGAAATGCAAAGCCTAGATGTTAGAGGCTCCAGGCCTGGATAATGCAACAGTTCATGTGTGCAGGTATTTTCTTTGCCCAATTCTACACTGATACGCCCAGCATATCAGCTTCATGCCCCATTTGACTCCTATTATGTTGAGACATGGAAATGACATTCTCAAGGGCCACACACACATATGAAAATTGGTAGGACTAAGGGAGGAGACAAGACTGCGTTTCTCTTCTGAAGGACCAGGAAAGCCTGGACAGACCATCTCCCCTGCCTCCATGACTGTATCTCGTGCCCATATGGACATTCATCCCTGATAGGATAAGAGGACTCCATTGATGAGGCTGAGTATTTTATGATATAAATTACTAGAGAGTGACATTGAGGTCTCAAAATCTAATATTTATAACCTAAATTTAATTGCCACCAAATTGTTACCTCTTTCTTCACTGAAAAATTGCTTTTCATGATTGGGATTTAGGTAGATTCCAAATGTTCACAACAGAGCTTCCAAGAGAATATTGGGAGCAAAAACTGAATGAGGACAGAGAAACCCATCCTTACTGTATTCACCACTAAACTCAAGTGGACTCAGCACTGCCTTTGATGGCTGCTGCTTCTCTGCAGAGTTCAGGTTTCCACTTCTCACAATTCCAACACAGGCTCTCTCTCTCCAAAATGTTTGGCCTCCACTTGATGTAAGGTCACACTCTGTTCTTAGTTTGTTCTCTGAACCATTTTCTGAGGGTGGTGATGAGCCACTGAATGGAAATTTTATATTTTCTCAGCATAAATCCCATGGACGGTCATGAATTATTCTTCTGGTTTTAGTAATTGATTTTTCCTGGGGTATTCATTACTAGTAATATTCAAAGTCATTTCATTTAAATCTTTGATGCTTCACTTTTTGTTGCTATGACATTCTTTCTTCTGTTGAATCTTCCCACTAGCATTATAACAAGATTTAGTATCCAGGCTCAGTTGTCATCAATAATAACCACATATGTCAAAAGCTATGTATTCTTTTCACAGGAGACATAATTTTCTCTTTTCAGGGGATGAACACACACTGCTGAGCGACCCCCACTCACAAGTACATATACACATTTATGATATTTTCGTTTATTGACTAATAAGATGTATCATTCTCCCTTAAAATGCTTAACCCCACAGAAGGCCGTGACAAACTCTTCTGCATCTGTTCATGCCACAAACTCAGAAAACAAACCACATGGTGAGTAAACGCTCACGCGGTTCTGGATATTGGGTCCATCTCTTCCCCTCCAATGTCCTGAAGCACCTCAGCCCACCTGTCCTGGTTCTATCAAGGAAGTTTACCTCCAGCACAGTAAAGGAAACAGTTGAATGAGGAGAGAACCACAAATGATAGACAATATTGAAAACTATTCATATGACAAGGGATTACTATCAAGCACATAAACTCAACTGAATTGCAAATAACAATATGATTAATAATGGGTGAATAACATGGATACACATCTCTCAGAGGAAAGCATGCAAAGGATGGATAGATAGATAGATAGATAGATAGATAGATAGATAGATAGATAAATAGATAGATAGATAGAGAAATTGCTAGAAATAACTAATATCAGGAAAATGCAAATTCACAACGAGCTATCTTTTCCTTAATGTTTGCTGGAAAGTCTGTTATCAGAAAGACAAAATAAGGAAAACAAAAGCTGGCCAGGGTGCATAGAAATGAACACTTTTATAGACCACTCGTGGAAATGTAAATTAATACAGCCATCATGGGGAAAAAAGACAACTACCATATAAATCAGCAATGCAACTGCCGAGTGTATATATACTTTTCAAATAATTAAAAGAAAAAAACTAATATTGAAGAGACACGTGTAGACCCATGTTTATTGCAGCCCTAAACACAATAGCTACGATATGAAATCAACGTGTGTGTACATCAACACATGAATGGATAAATAAAATGGGGTATATTTACACAATGGAATATTATTCAGCCTTAAAAATGAAATTCTGCTATTTGAAGCAACATGGATGGAACTGGGCACTGTTTTGTTGAGTGAAACAAGCCAGACACAGAAAAATAAATACCTCATTCTCTCAATGTTATGTGGAAGTTTAAGAAAGTTCATCTTCTAGAAGTAAATAGTAGAGTAGTGGTTATGAGATGCTAGGAATGGGAGGAGACTGAGAGATAAGAAGTGGTTTGTTAACAAATGCACGATTACAGGTAGACAGGTGGGATACGCTCTAGTGTCCTACAGCACAGAAGGGTGAATACAGTTAACAATATATTGTACATTTTATGTGTATAAGTAGCCAGAAGAGAGAATTTTGTATGCTACCAAGCAAAGAAATGTTAACGTCTGAGCTGATGAATTACCTCGTTGTTCTGATTTGGTCAAACCACATTGCACATACATATTGAAATATCACACTGTACCCCATAAACATAAACAATCATTATCTGTCAACTTAAAAATCCTTTAATTAAAAAAGATTTTATGTGCATACATTATGGATGATTCAACACAGAGCCAGGAATAAATAACATTTTTATTGAAATAGTGAAATTCCTAACAAAATAGTTACATTCATTTGCACCAAACTATGTATTTGATCATGATAAGTACAGACAGACTTATGCAAAGAATAATATATTTTAATTTTAGACTTCTACTTAATACTATAAATGCAAATAATTTTAAAACAGCTAAGTAAAAAGAATAAAGTAGAGGAAATGTGTGCGTGGTGTGTGATGTGTGAGCTTTTTCTTGTAACTATGCTGTCCATGGTGTATGTGTGGTGTGTATGTCTGTGCCTGTTTGTGTTTAATCTGCTTGAGGTTCTCTGTGATTCTCCGATCTGTACTTCAGTGTCTTTCACAAAATTGGGAACATTCTTAGCCATTACTTTTTCAAATACTTTCTCTGTATCTATAATTTCTCCTCTTCAGAATTAAAATATACGTATACTATACTTTCTGGTATTAATGTTTAGTTTCTTCACTTTCCTTTCCTTTGCAATTCACTTTGTGAAATTTCTAGAGACAATTTAAGCACATGGTTTCATTTAAAAGCTGAGCCAGCTCTACGGAGGGGTGTGCCCAAAGCTTGCTCAATATTTATCCTGCACTTCCTTTGGTTTCCTATGCATTTCCATTTGATTCTTTCTTAATATTTATATCTCTCAGTTCCCTATCTAGTCCTGCATTATGTCCATAGTTTAAGAGATTTTTACATAAGAATTATAGTTACTTCACATATCTTATTTAATTAGATATTTCTAATATCTGTATCATTTAGAAATCTCATTCCAAACATTTATTTATTGTGACTTTAGCATTTATCATTAATATAGGTAATAATTGTTGATAACCAGACAGGTTAGGTTGGACAGTTGATATTGGCTTATTATTTCATTTTATCCATTTTCTGCCTGTATCTGACCACACTTTATCTTTGCCAGGCCATTATTGTGGAAATGTCTGAATCTTCTCAGAGCTACATTTAACATTTACTTTTGCAGTGGACGTCCAAGTTGAAGTCTGTTCTTCTGTGTCCACCAGAGACTTCAGATCCTCCAGTGAGACCTTGTTTTTCTTTCCTGCTTGACTTTGTCTCTTCACCTGTTCCCTCCTCCAGAGAATCTCCTTCAGCTCCTTCAGGGGGGCTAAGATGTTATATTCAACTGACAATTGTAAAATTGGTTGAAGGCAATAGAATAAAGGGATATTTTCTGACCTTTCATGGGTCCATATTGTGATCCTGAGTCTGGAAAGGAAAATCCTTTCCAGTGTTTCTGAACTTCCTCCAGATGAGATGTCCATCTGTGTCTTCTTGCCCTTTTCCCTGGAGTGGAGTCCTCTTGTTTTCCCCAGTTGTTCCCTCCCGCAGCTCCAGTGTTCTATTTTGGTGTTATCACCTTCCAGATTTGCTGACCTGACCCATAGATTAAGGCTCTGATTCAATAAGAAAGAGAGGGGAAGTACTTCTCAAAGGAATTTAGGTGAAGACCTCTTTTCCCATCTCAGTTCCTAAGGGATTGCCCGAGCGCCCCTAAGATACTGGTTTTGGTGGCTTGCCCCTGCAGAGTAATTTCTTAGTTCTGCAAAGGGGATAAAGGAGGTGGGTCCAAATGTATTTCAGAGTGTGGGTTCTTTTTTCTCTCTCAGACAGACACATTGGCACAGAAAGATTTTTTGGACTCTCCACATTATTGGGAAAAGTGATTCAAGAGGATAGGAAAGCTCTTCAGTATGTGGTCCCTGAGAAATTCACACAACACATTTACCACACTTGACTTCAAGCAATCCAATATATATGTGTGTTTTTATCTTGTAGTAGCCCACATTTTATATGCCAGACTCTGCCCCAGTTCGGCTCATACCCTGGCCTTGTTACTGCCTACAAGAACTTGCTTTGCCCTGGATTTCAGATTTGATGTTTTTCTTAAAACTTCAAGTACTTAAAGTATTTCTAAAATTTGCAAAATCCTATCTTCTCTGTTTATCTGTTATTGTTGATGTTATTGTAAAAAAAATAAGTAAAATATATTCTTCATCTATGTACATTTGAAAACTGAGTTGCAGATTTTTTTGGTAAGACCCACAGTAACAAAAGAATGCAAATATTGTTAAGCTGCTTAATAGAAAAACAAATTATGGTAAATGTGTTCACTGGAATACTACCAATCATATATAATAAATAAATGCCTGATACACAGAACAACAAGGTAAACTATGTAAGTATTTATATTGAGTAAAATAAGCCAAACAAATAAGAATATATACTATTTTATTTCATTTTTATAAGTTCTGATAAATAAAGATGTATCTAAAATAATATAATGAAGATTGGTTGTTGCCAGGGGAAATGACAGAAGAAGGGAAGGGGAGAGAGGAGGAATACAGCAGACCAAGAGGAAATGTTGAGAAGAATTCACTTGTCCACTTTCTTGATAATGATGATAGTCACATCACGTTTATTCATTGTACATTTTAAATATGTGAAATGTATTATCTTTCAATTAAGTCACATAAAATGTATGACAAGCAAACAAATGGAAACTTAGACAAGAAAGAAGTAATAGCAAGATAGAGAAATACATTAAATGTCAGAAGTACCTGAAAATGAATGTGCCTGGTCTCTCGATCTCTCCATATTTTCAGGTGAGAGCTGGAGTGCGGCAACATCACATATGCTCTTATTACAGAAAGTGGGTTCTGAAAACCACACCGGGCACATCCACCTTTGCCTGGAAGTTGGCTTAGGGAGCAGTCAGAGCTAGTGGCGAGGAGCACAGGGCCAGATACTGGGGTTCATTCATCCCAGACATGAGCTCCTAGATGCACATAGAGCCCCCTCCACTTGTGGGTTCACTTCCACATCTGCAAATGGAGAAAATGTTGACTCCAACAGAACATAATTTACACGAATATTTAAACATGAAATAGGGTGATCAGGGCAAAGTGTTTACCACAGCACAATTTAATAATAAGACAGCATATTTTCCAAATACATCATTATCAGCAAACTTCTGCAGGGCACCGTCGTCTTATCTGGGTACCACCTACTCCTCAAGCGTCCCATCCTACTAGAGCTTGCTATATAGTAGGAGACATGCAAATAGGGCCCTCCTTCTACTGATAAAAACCAACCCAACCCTGGTCCTGTAGCTCTGAGAGAGGAGCCTTAGCCTTGGGATTCCAAGGCATTTCCACTTGGGGATCAGCCCGGAACACAGAGGACTCACCATGGAGTTGGGGCTGAGCTGGGTTTTCCTTGTTGCTATTTTAGAAGGTGATTCATGGAAAACTAGGAAGATTGAGCATGTTTGGATACGAGTGTGAGAAACAGTGGATTTGCGTGGCAGTTTCTGACCAGGATGTCTCTGTGTTTGCAGGTGTCCAGTGTGAGGTGCAGCTGGCGGAGTCTGGGGGAGGCTTGGTCCAGCCTGGGGGGTCCCTGAGACTCTCCTGTGCAGCCTCTGGATTCACCATTAGCAGCTACTGGATGAGCTGGGTCTGCCAGGCTCCGGGAAAGGGGCTGGAGTGGCTTTCAGACATTTATGGTAGTACCATGTACTACGGAGACTCTGTGAAGGGCCTATTCACCGTCTCCAGAGACAATGCCAAGAACTCGCTGTATCTGCAAATGAACAGTCTGAGAGCCGAGGACACGGCCGTGTATTACTGTACTAGAGACACAGTGAGGCGAGGTCAGTGTGAGCCCAGACACAAACCCCCCTGCAGGGGTCCCCGTGACCACCAGGGGGCGCCCAGACACAAACCTCCCTGCAGGGGTCCCCGTGACCACCAGGGGGCGCCCGGGACACAAACCCCCCTGCAGGGGTCCCCGTGACCACCAGGGGGCGCCCGGACACGGAGCTCGGGGCTGTCTCCAGGGCAGGAGCCGGTGCTGCTAAGGCCTGGCTTCCTGTCATGGTCTGTGGCTGCCTCATTGTCAAATTTCCCCAGGGAACGTCTCCAGATTTACAGTCTGTACTAACAGTTCACGTCTCTGAATGCAATACTTTTTTTGTCCTTTTTGTTTCTTTGTTTCTGTAACAGGAGTACTTATCTTCACCTCCACAGAAGCCAGGGTGTCACTTTGGGGGCAGAAATAATCCTTTCGTGGTCAACAGGACGTGAATCCTGAGGAATCCTAGAGAAACCTGGAGAGTGTTTTCCAGTTAGACCCAGGGCAGAGACCTCCATGGGAATCTCTGATTAGAAAAGGCTTTGAGTTCTGATGGGCTCCAAGAGAGATGCTTGCCCAGGGTCGGGGTCCTTGAAACCTGATGGTTTTCACAGCTATCCCCCCTCGTCTTGTAAAACTGGGCCCGTCTGACTCAGACTGACTCAGTTGACTCTCTTTCTGCTAATCCATTTTCCTTCTCTGTAGACTTGATTCTCACAGTTCCCTTTCTTCTTCGTTGCCTTAAAAACAGACTATGTGTTTTCTGTAGTCAAAATCCCAGGCCTCGGGTCTGCAGAACCTGGGTAGGCTGAGGGGACTTTCTCACTTGCTATTGCCTGGACACTTCTGTTGTCTTCTGTGCATGGAGGCATTTGGGAAATGAAGTGGACTTTAGTCATGAAGGGAATAATACTAGTTTTCTCCAATGGGATACTGATGTAGAGCTGAACTTGTGCTTCTCACACTGTCACAGAGTTTGCACTGTCACCCGTGACTTTGAGGAGAGCTGAGGATGTGAGCTCCGGGTAACAGTAATTGTAGGGTCTGCCTAGGCAGCCTCAGGTCTTGCTGGCCCTCAGGAAAGACAAGCTGGAATTCCTGGGAAGGCCTGCATCTGCCACCACCACGGAGTCCCATCGTCTTCTGTTGTGCTGTGATTGAATCAGCCCCACCTAGTTTATCTAGAACACTCTTCATGACTTAGGAAAACATAATGGCAGGCTCTCCTAGCACCTGTGTTATGCCATGGGAGCAACACCTAAGCTAGTGTGTGATTCAGTAGATGAGACTGTGGTCTAGTCAAGATGACAGGTAAAATTGATAGTTGTCATTATGATATTTTATTTTTTATTTGGCAATATAATCGTGCTCATAAATACTTTTGCTACTTTTTTTGTGTGTCAGAGGCTTTGGAACTGGAACAACTGCATCTTGAATAGGGGCTAGGGAAAATAAGACTGAGACCTGCTGGGCTGGATTCCTAGTAAGTTAAGGCAGTAAGTTAGTCACAGGATGAGATAGGATGTCTACACAAGATACAGGTCATAAAGACCTTGCTGATAAATCTTACAGTAAAGAAGCTGGCCAAAGCCCTCCAAAACCAAGACAGTGGCTGAAGTGACCTCAGTTTGTCCTCAGTGTTCATTATACTCTAATTATAATGCATTAACATGCTAAAAGACACTCCCTCCAGCTCCAAGACAGTTCACAAATGTCCAGACAACATCAGGAAGTTTCCCTGTGTGGTCTAAGAAGGACGGGGTGGGCCGGCAGGGGGTGGGGAGGGACACTCAGCTTCAGGAATTGCCATGGGGACTCATGAATAATCCATTCCTTGTTTAACATATAATGAAGAAATAACCGTAACTTCGGCAATCAGCAGCACACACTGCTGCTCTGCCTCTGGAGTAGCCAGTCTCATTATTTTACTTATGTAATAAACTTGTTTTACTCTGTGGATTTTCCCCGAATTGGGACCCCTTTCTGCTAACATTTGTGCAATTATTCCTGTTCTAAGCAGAAAGCTCCAAGATGGAATGACGTTTCCCTGCATTGTTATAAGAAGTACATTCACCCCCTTGAGTGAAAATGCACCAGGGGTGGAATGAGACTGGGAAGCTGATGGCATATGATGGAAGCCCGTCCCTGAGTGAAAGAGACAGTGAGGGAGGATTGGGTGGAAGATTCCTATATTTTTGTGCTATGCAAGGAAGCTGCAAAAGGTAACTGAGTCTCGTGTAAGTCAGGGTTATCTCTCAGGGGATCCCTATGACTCCAAGAGAGGGCTCTCCTTAGGAATCACTGTGGAGTCAGTCCTTTCATTAGAGTAGACCACAGGGCATGGGCCTCAGCACACGCCATGCCACAGATGTCAGAAAGCAGCGGCTGGGAACCTGATCCACCTGCATTTTGCTGCCTGTATGTGGAGGGAGGGAGGGTCACCATTCTCAGGGTCAACACACCGTTTGTGAATTTTTATAGAGAACACCTGCTTTTACTGTATTTTATTGGAAAATATATGAAAAAGTGTGCACCTGCACACAATTGTAATTTTCACATTTACTTCAGTTGCATTATTTCTTTTTTTTATTTTTTATTTTTTATATTTTTTATTATTATTATTATACTTTAAGTTCTAGGGTACATGCGCACAACGTGCAGGTTTGTTACATATGTATACTTGTGCCATGTTGCTGTGCTGCACCCATCGACTCGTCAGCACCCATCAACTCGTTATTTACATCAGGTATAACTCCCAATGCAATCCCTCCCCCCTCCCCCCTCCCCATGATAGGCCCCGGTGTGTGATGTTCCCCTTCCCGAGTCCAAGTGATCTCATTGTTCAGTTCCCACCTATGAGTGAGAACATGCGGTGTTTGGTTTTCTGTTCTTGTGATAGTTTGCTAAGAATGATGGTTTCCAGCTGCATCCATGTCCCTACAAAGGACACAAACTCATCCTTTTTTATGGCTGCATAGTATTCCATGGTGTATATGTGCCACATTTTCTTAATCCAGTCTGTGAATGATGGACATTTGGGTTGATTCCAAGTCTTTGCTATTGTGAATAGTGCCGCAATAAACATACGTGTGCATGTGTCTTTATAGCAGCATGATTTATAAACCTTTGGGTATATACCCAGTAATGGGATGGCTGGGTCATATGGTACATCTAGTTCTAGATCCTTGAGGAATCGCCATACTGTTTTCCACAATGGTTGAACTAGTTTACAATCCCACCAACAGTGTAAAAGTGTTCCTATTTCTCCACATCCTCTCCAGCACCTGTTGTTTCCTGACTTTTTAATGATCGCCATTCTAACTGGTGTGAGATGGTATCTCATTGTGGTTTTGATTTGCATTTCTCTGATGGCCAGTGATGATGAGCATTTTTTCATGTGTCTGTTGGCTACATGCATGTCTTCTTTTGAGAAGTGTCTGTTCATATCCTTTGCCCACTTTTTGATGAGGTTGTTTGTTTTACACCAGTAACAGACAAACAGAGAGCCAAATCATGAATGAACTTCCATTCACAATTGCTTCAAAGAGAATAAAATACCTAGGAATCCAAATTACAAGGGATGTAAAGGACTTCTTCAGGGAGAACTACAAACCACTGCTCAGTGAAATAAAAGAGGACACAAACAAATGGAAGAACATACCATGCTCATGGATAGGAAGAATCAATATCGTGAAAATGGCAATATTGCCCAAGGTTATTTATAGATTCAACCATCCCCATCAAGCTACCAATGAGTTTCTTCACAGAATTGGAAAAACTGCTTTAAAGTTCATATGGAACCAAAAAAGAGCCCGCATCTCCAAGACAATCCTAAGTCAAAAGAACAAAGCTGGAGGCATCATGCTACCTGACTTCAAACTATACTACAAGGCTACAGTAACCAAAACAGTATGGTACTGGTATCAAAACAGAGATATAGACCAATGGAACAGAACCGAGTCCTCAGAAATAATGCCACACATCTACAGCCATCTGATCTTTGAGAAACCTGAGAGAAACAAGAAATGGGGAAAGGATTCCCTATTTAATAAATGGTGCTGGGAAAATTGGCCAGCCATAAGTAGAAAGCTGAAACTGGATCCTTTCCTTACTCCTTATATGAAAATTAATTCAAGATGGATTAGAGACTTAAATGTTAGACCTAATACCATAAAAACCCTAGAGGAAAACCTAGGTAGTACCATTCAGGACATAGGCATGGGCAAGGACTTCATGTCTAAAACACCAAAAGCAACGGCAGCAAAAACTAAAACTGACAAATGGGATCTAATTAAACTAAAGAGCTTCTGCACAGCAAAAGAAACTACCATCAGAGTGAACAGGCAACCTACAGAATGGGAGAAAATTTTTGCAATCTACTCATCTGACAAAGGGCTAACATCCAGAACCTACAAAGAACTCAAACAAATTTACAAGTTGCATTATTTCTTAATTCTGCATGACATCTTGTCACAGAGTTGAGTTTTTCACAGGGATTGTTCAAAGAATCGAGACCATGCATTTTCCACATTCACTGGTTTTTCTCCATGTGCAGAGACCTTGAGTAGAGTACATCTGGCCCTCTTCCACACTATCTCTTGTGTCCCTACGGAAAAAGCAGAGATTTGTCTGACTGTAGAATCTGGGGTAGGAGTCTGCACACCTCTGAGCCTACAGAGAAGCCCAGTGAAGTTTCATGGAGTCAGAGGGCTATCCCATGTGCGGGAAATCTAGCTTCCCTACTGCCAGAGATTGCTGGTCAGCTGTAATCGAGAAGTTAACAATTAGAGCACTTGGAAGCCCATTTCATCACAGCTCCATTATGTCACTTATCACCATTAGACTGCAGGTAATACCTCAATCTTGATTATTCTGACCCCATTTTCTCATCTTATTGATTTGTGACTTTGGTTATACAAAATGTTATCTTTTAGTTTCTGATTCAAACCTCAGGTTTGTATAAACTCATCAGGAATAATACAAAATGTGTCCAGTTTTTGGGAAATGTAAATGAATTTCCATACTGTTTATGTGTGTGTCCGTGTGTGCGTGTGCGTGTGCGTGTGTGTGTATGTCAGTCACTTACACCCCGATGAACATGGTTCCTTAATTATATAGATGAAATACAATTATGTTTGTGGAAAATCACCTGCAGTAAGGTC